ACTTAGAAAATAGTCACAAAATATAAAAAAGTCATTGATTTCAGGAAACATTCTGTTTTCCTGCTTAGTAAAAGACAACACGCTGGAAAATTATTATTATCATTATTATTTTTTACAAAAGTTAAGGCTCTCCAGATCTGATGCAGAAAATCTGTGGTCCCCAAACTTATATAGTGTATTCTGACACTGACAGCAACCTTTCTGTGCAACAGCCCTGCCCTTCTCATGTTAGACTGGAGCTCAGAGGGGAAGCAGAGGCCTACTTTAGATATATAAAAATTAAGTTGGGGGAGATGGTCTAAGGATCCCCACGGAAATTTCCTTTTGAAATTCTTATTGTACGTCTTTTACATTCAAACAATATTTGTTTTGTTTTTGCTAAAATGGAAATTGCTTCAAGAAATTTGCTGAAGCTACAGAGACCCAGATACCTAACTGCACTGTGCTCTTAATTAGCAATTTTTCTTTTTCCTTAGAAAATGCAAAAGGTTTTCCTGATAAGTCAGAAGAAAGCTACATAATGAAGGGGAACTATAGCAGGAATCAAAGATCTCATCTTGCGCATTCTTTGGAGCTGTTGCTTGTTATACACTGGCAGCTCCAAGTTCCTGTGGTGTTTCCCTGACCAAATAGGACCAAACAGGACAAAGGACATTTTCTGGTTCCAGCCTCATCAATGGAGCTGAGTAGACCTTCCATTAAAAATGAGGAGCTTTTAAAAGATTGCATATTTATAATTTCTGAAACTTGTCTTAAATATACTGAGAATTTGTGGTTTCGATTACAAATATGCACATTGCAAAAATACATGTGATTGCTCACTTTGGAATGGTTTGTGTTGTAAACTAACGTCACAGGAGATGGCAGTGCATCCACCAGGGAAGGGCCCTTCCGGAGTTAAACTCTCCAGTGGGCCCAGTGGTAAACAGAGATGACTGACCTTCTAGATGTTATATAAGAACAATAACAAAAAACATGCCTTCAGTGTGTGTTCTGCCTGTTTGTCTTATTTTAAATGGACAGGGCTATGCTTTTTAAAAAGGAAGGGCTGATATAACAGTTCGATCTGTAACTCTTGTAACATGTTTCCTTCCCTCCTTTTGGATACCCCTCGGCTCATTGGTGTTAAGTACAGTGACTGACAATTTCCAAGGGTATTCTGTGGTCCCTTGCAGTAGGATTCTATAGGCAGTGAAGGGAAATAAGCTGTTCTCCCATTTGTGTCCAACGTTTTGTCTCAGAGATGACATCATATCTCAAGGAAATTCTGTTGATAGGTATCAGTTTTCCCTTTTTTATAAAAATTAAATCCTGACCAAAATGAAATATTCTACTTGCATGTACGAAAAACACCACAAAATAAGCTGGAAAAGGTGGAATTCTGAAGCAAATACATGTGTATTAACATTTCAGAAAGTAGTCAAATAGAATTAACTATAGAATTGGAGTTTCCCGAAAGTCTGAATAATTTTAAGAATGCACTAGAGTCTTAAGAAAATCATACTTTGATTTTGTCTACAGGAATTTCTCTACGCCTTTTCCTCTATCTCCAGTGGTAGGCAGCATTATTGAACATTTAGAAATTGCTTTCAGAGGCCGTCATTTTTGGTTATATAAAGGAAATAATATTATTATGTGTAAAAATAGTACAAGGAAAAAAAAATATCCTAAGCCTTGCCTTACTGAAGACTAAAAGAAAAAGAAATACAACAAAAAAATTCATGGATATACAAGCTATCAAGATTTTCAGGATACATACAACTAAGCTTTATCATTTTAACTATTAAAGGATTTTTAATTAAGTGCTACTGAAAATCTGTTTATAAAATTTTTTAAAATATTCCCTTCTCCATATTTTTCTTCTCTTTATTTATTTTTTGGTTTTATGATACAGGGTCTCACTACGTAGTTCAGACTGTCCCTAAACTCTCTGTGTAGCCCAGGCTGGCCCTGAATTCCAGGTGATCCTCTTGCCTCAGCTTCCCAAGCTGTGAGCTGGGATTATAGGCATGTACCACTACTCTCAACTCTGTATTTAAAAGAAAACTGATAATAATATTTTAAAGGAAACCCCAACTAAATATTAGCTCAAAAAAGATCATGGTTTTGTAGCTTCTTTACTGATTTTCAAATTAGTTTCGTTATGTAATCAAATACCCTGCACTCTTGAAGGGCGTGGCCCCACACATACTATGATTTTTAGAGAGAAACTGTCAATAGCTTTAGGAAAGGCAGAATTGTCATGGTCACCACTCTATGTACAGCTTCATAATCAAGGGTGGAATTTTCAGCTGTAGGTGGGATTACAAGCCCCATGAAAGTATTGGAGCCCATATCCTCCATTAAGACAGGAAAATAAGAGAAAATATGCATATATATATATATATATATATATATATATGCCATACTCAAATTACTTTCTTCAAAAACTATTAGGTAATAAGCTTTAATAACAAAAGTATAAAGTGCATCCTATCTCATATTATTTGCTAGTCACTATTCCACATAATAGTAAGTGATGAATGAGGGGGAATTATCAATGGTATGTTAAATTGTAGGAGAAGGGAGAGGTGCCAATCACTTTCTTCATGGGTAACTAGTTTACTTAGGGAGGGCAGGTCGTTCAGGGAACAGTCCTCCCTGAAAAATGATTCAGTTTATCAACATGGCAAGCCTGAGGATTCCAAGCTGAGCCATTCCACTCACTAACCAGGCATTTAAAAATATTCTGAACGTTAAAATCCCCAAGTGAGTAGCAAAGATAAACCATGGTACATGTTAGATTGCTTCTTTCCTAAATAAATTCTTAAAATAATAATAGATTGTCTAAAACACTGAAATTATTTTCTCCTTCTGTGTAAATGTCTATCGACACATCATTTTATGTCCCATTTAAGTGATTGTTAAATAATCACTTATTGAAGAAAATGAAATAGAGACTTGTGAGATTTACAGGCATTGAAACCAGGGTTTTAGATAATAGAGCAGTTTATCCTATTACAGTTACTTGGGTGAACCTGAGAATTACAGACAATTCTCCCAGTCATCCAAGTTGAAGCTTGGAGGAAATCATTCTGGAAAGCAGAACTCACAGCCATTATTTTTCCCTGCTCTAACCTTTCATTTGTTTTGATTACCTATAGCAGAGATAAAATGATCCCTTTTGTGCTCCTTAAAATACAATTATTTCAGAAAAACTTTAAGAAATAAAAATGTCATTTGCCCTCTCAAACTGAAATAAGTATATAATTTCAAGCCAAGAAGTTAAAAATAATAATAGATTTATCACTGAGCAAGCTGCATAGGACAAAGTTAGTTGGTTCTATAATGTAATCATTAATAAAATCCTAGTTTTTTTCCAAGGTACTTTCTGCTTTAGTTAAATGTGGTAGTGTCTTATATTATGAATTTGAAACTATGTTCTAAGGACATGTAGATAATTTTGGGAATGACCTGCAACTATGCCCTCAGGCACTGGGCCAATAATGTGAAGTCATCTCTTATTAAAATCAGATAACATAATTACTTTTATTTCATTACTACAATATTCTTTTTAAAAATTTCTTCCCTTTGGTTTTACTGTACATGTGGTTATCCACTTTGGGGCAGTACTAAATATTTATTTCAAGGATTGTTTCTTATGTTCTAGATAAAAAATATTCCTTGATGTTCCAGAATCTCCAGCAGTTTAAGAACTAAAGCTCCAAGAAGCTCGCTCGTATTCCACTCAATCTGTCTTTAGTACTTGACACTGAGAAGATGAATCTTTGTTCATCTTTCAGCCTTTACATGTTCAAATCTTTTTGAAGGGTGGAGAAATAAAACACACTTTGTCATGAGGACAGAAATAAAGGAGTACAAATGCAAGACTGTCATCAACTGGGCACGTGAGATGGACAGTTAATACATACAGCACCATGCTGGATACAGCGGGAGCATCAGAGCAACCACTGCAGGTCGGAGAGACTGTTTTAGAAATATGGTCACTGCAGAGATACTTCTCAAAATGATCACCTCATTGAAAATAGATGAACATGATCAGAAAATATCGATGAAAAAGAAAGCAATATAAAAATTTACACTTTTTGAGAGAATAGAAGCAGGGCTCATGGATGGGCCTCTCTAAGCTTGGAGATCACTATTGATGTTTGCAACATTAGTTGTCTCATGTCCTCAGAAAATCTAAAATGGTGCTTCTTGTATAAAGAGTTCATCAGTTAAGCCATAGAAAGAGAGAGAATTGCTGATGAGCAGGTGAGATGCTGCCTCCCTACCCTTCAGCCGTGACAAGCACTAGGTTCTTTGCATTCACACCAACTTCATTACAGAAGGAAAGCCATATATGCACAATACTGTAATCTGGAAGCTTCTGTAAGGCAGCAAAAAGCATCTCCCTAGAATGGACAGATTAAGTAAGGTCCACTTTTGGCTACACTAGCAATCGATTGGCTAGAGCCCACAGCATTTTGCCACACAAGATATAAAAACATAGATCCACAGCAAGGAGGCAAGTGGGAAGTCAGGGACATGGCAGTGTGTGTGTGTGTGTGTGTGTGTGTGTGTGTGTGTGTGTGTCTGCATTACCAGAGCACACTACAAAATAAAACCCCCGGTGCCAATGGTTCAATTCCAGTCAAGTAAATTAAGGCTACTAGAGAACTGGTTGATGTGAAGAGTCCATTCCAATGGAGCAGTAAGGAACTGATTCTCTCTTGAAGACACAAGGAAAAGTTTAGAGGAAAAGCAAGTTCTTGGAAAAAATGAAGCACACACATGCACGTTGTTTCTCAGGTGAGGAAAAGAAGAAAAAAAAATTAAGAGAGATCAAAGCAATCCAACTGCAAGGCAAGGCAGGTGTTTGCTTCCAGTTCACAGTATTGCAGTTAGTGGAGAGTGAGGTCTACAGAGGTGCTGGAGAGTAGAGGCTGCCCAGAAGAAAAGGGAGGAAAGAAGTGGTCACATGACAACACAGCATTGACAGCGCTTTTTCTTTTGGGTACCTGGGGCTGGCTCGGTGGCCAGGCTCTCTTCCTTCCCTTCTGGGGATGAAGGTTCTGTGGTGTCTGAGAGTGGCCTCCCAGACACAAGCTCGGCTGCATTCCCATCAATGGTGGACACATCTGTCACTGTCTTCTCTCTTAATGACTTCTCATCGTCTTCATCAATGAGGACCAATTCAGCCTTGATGGTTTCATCATAGCCTAGCACCTTTTTAGTCTCCTCTTCATCCTCGATATTTTGGTAGCCCATAAAAATCATAGTGACTGGTTGATCCAAGTTTGCCTCTGGCTCTTCTGTGCTGGGGGCCTGCGTCTGCTGCCCTGGGTTCCCAGAAGCGTGATCTTTCCTAGACTTATGGACCATTTCTAACTTGGCTTCTTTGCAGAGCATGTGATCCTTAGGGTGGCCGAGGCTCCCATCTGCAACCACAGTTCTTTCTGATACAGGCCCTTCTCTTAAGCTTGATTGTCCGGCCTTCTGAATAAGCTCTTCGACATCCTTTGCACTTAATCTGTGCACTCCGTTTTCTACTATGGTGCCTCCTGAGTGCACCTCATACACTACTTTGGTACCGTCATCAAAGACTTTGACTCCTCTCTGATGGACCCCCTCTGGGCCAATGGTAGATGCAGAGAGAATCTTGGTCTCTCCTGTTTGTTTGTCTTTCTCCACATTAATTTCCATGGCGTACACAGCTTGAATGAAAACAAGAGAAAGGAAGTGCATGTTACAACAAAAAAAGCCAGTGATTGGTTAATTGCCAAACAGACAAAAAAAGGTTTTGTGCCCTTTCTATTCTAACTACAAGTATCCTGAGTGTTAGAATGAGGTGCACGTTGTGAACAAAGACGGTTATAGATGTATTTAACAGCAAGCTTAATGCACTGAGGAGACAGATGACACATCCCTATATCTCAATGGCACTCATACTTGTAAGAGAAACCTGATCAAATTAGGCCATAGTGGATTTCGGACCTAGATGGGAAGAACTACAGGAAAGTAGGCAGCATGCAAATTTACCCTGATTGAGGGTTCCTAGACTTATGTCTAGGAACAATTTTAATTTTAAAGCACGTAGTTATGTCTCATTTCCAAAGTCTGAAAATTTTTTTCCCAATTCTTTCATCAAGTGTCCTACTTTTCTGTTTTGTTGTACTATTAATGGAGAATATGTCACAGTGTCTGCAGGTAAGACAAGATCATCCCCTACTATACTTATACAACTGATTATTTGGAAAAAGTGAAAATGATGAAACCATTCTTATATGCTCTCGGGGTGAGATTTCTAAAGAAAGAACTAGAAAAAGAACAAGGCTGAAAACCAGACACAGTGGTGTACAGAGGCTGGGAGCTGAAGTAGGAGGATTGCAAGTTACGAGTATTACCTGGACAATTTAGTCTGTTTTAAAAAGGGGCAGGGTTGAATGTAGCTCAGTGTGAAGGCCCTGGGTTCCATCTCCAGTATTTAAAAAAAAAAAGACAAAGTAGCAGCTTCTGCGAGAGTGGGACCTGAGCACAGTGCTAGAGCTGCTTTCTTTTATCTGCACAAGGCCAAGTCTTGTGATTCTGTCCCGTAGTATCTTTCCCCTCTGTTGTCTTCTTTCTGTTCCACAGTCACTATCCAGGATGAGAGCCTCCTTTCTTCCCTAGATTGCAGGACAGCTTCCTTCCTACTGGAGACTGAGTCCTCTAGTCTCATTCTCTCCAATTCACCCCCAATTCTGCTGCTGGTCTGGTGTTCCTAAGGACTGGCTCTTTCCTGTTCTGTGGATTCCTCAGACACTTCACACTTACAAGTCTGTCCTTTCACAGGCTCCTTGTGGTGTGCCCATTTGGGACAGGAATAAACAGGATACCAGACCCACAGGACCACTTCACACCTCAGATTAAGCAATGTCAAAAGTCATCACACTTCTGCCAAAACCCTTCCAGAGCCCTGCTGCTGGACAACGCCCACACCGTTATCTGGTATTCCAAGCCAGAAGCCTCAGGATCCTGCCTGAATTTACCTCTTCTTTCTAATTTCTCACACCCAAACAAGCCCTGAGAGGAACTAATTCTGCTTCAGATGGCTTTACCTTTCTCTTCATAACCATCTCTACCCCCACCGCGCTGGCCCAGGCTTCTACTCAACACAAAACCTTTGTTCTGGGTTTTACTTGGCCCTTCTCTCTTTCCACTCTGGTCTTGGTGACTGCAAATATGGCCAGAGAGCTAAAGGCAGTAAGTATGAGGCTGGATTCTGCATGGCCAAAGGAGAAAGAATGGGAATTTTAAGTGTTTAAAAAAAGAAAGAAAGAAGAGAAAGGTAAAGAAGAAGACAGGGAAGGGAAAGGAAAAAGGAAAAAATATTAAGAATATGTAACAGAGACCATATAGGGTCCACAAAGTGAAAAACATTTCCCAGCTGGCCATTTATAGACACTGTTCTGACCCCTGCCGGCCTGTGTTCCAGTCTCCCACAGTCACAGACCCACATTTCCTGTTGGTTCTTGGGGTAAACACCCAACTCCGTGGCCTGTAGCTTGACACGTATTACCCTTCAGAATCTGCCTGCAACCTTCCTTTCCAGCTGTGTCTCCCAGTCCCTCTTGTCCCTTGTCCTAGACTCTGGCCACAATAGACACTGCTCGGAGGCTTCCCATGCCTGCTGCTTTTCAGCCTTCTCCCCTGTGCCCTGGGCCGTTCACCACTGTCAGAGTCCCCTGCTCCTTTCTGTGTATCTACCAGACTGCTTACCTGGGAAAGCAGATCCAGACTGTCTTTTCAGCTGTATGCTCTGTCACTCCTCCCTTAGCCACAACCAAACAACACCATCTCATATCTAAGCATGATCCCCTTGTGAAATGCCCATCTTTGGACGTTCTGCACATCCACACATGACTCATCATCCATCAATGCCAACACTACATGCCCCTTTCCCATGATCTCCCCATTTTCTATGATCACCCCATCTTCTTTCTATGATCTCTCCATTTTAAGTCATCTTTCTCCTAAAAATTTCTGAACACTTAAAAACTTCTTCGAGAGCACTCACTTTCCACTCAGTACTACGATTTGTAATGTAATGATCGCTTCATAGATTTTTAGGATCCTTGAGGTTTACATTTTTGCCCTGCCATCCACGATCCTCTCTTCCTGCCAGCACCTACCATAGACCCCTTTGCACAGAAGGTACCTGATATGCACACTCATGAAACAAATGTTACTAATGGAGAAGTTTCACTTGACTGTCTAAACGTAGTCACAAGCGCTTTATATGATATTACACCAATGAAAAGGTACACACAGTGATTAACATATTAGCTTGTTTTAAAAAAACTGCAATGATATCCTTCCATCTGCTAAGATAATAAGACACAATGTGTTCATGGTTAACACTCAACTAAAAAGATTATGAAGCAAAATCCACTGCTTGGTTTTCACCATCTCCATTTTGAAGGTTTCACTTGTTCTGCATGAAATATTGAGTTTCCTCAAGTGACACAAGGGGAGGCCAACCAATATTTGTCACAAAGGTACCTGGGCTCACACACAAAGACTGCAATATCAAAAGAAATATTTATCTTGCTTGTTTCCTGATTTTCCACACAAAGTGTCATCGGAGAATAGGAAAGTTATTTAAAATTCTACATGGACTCCAAAAGTCTATTCTTGAAATAATTATAGCTGTGATGTAAGGCACAATTTTGGGTTACAATATCATATCACTATTAGCACACTTAGGGATATATTTATAAACAATAGAAGTAATAATGAATATCAATTTATAGGAATTATCATCCAAATATCCAGAGATGTGTGAACAAAATGACATGTTAACCTGTAATCAACACATAAAGGTAGCAAAATATTTCTGTTTTTATACTCCTATGTGATAGGACACAAATTATCAAGATGCAAATGTTTAGAGATGTCTCTTTCCCTCTTTCCACCACTGAGCGTACTGTCATCGTTGGTCCAATTTCCCCTTCTCTCGATCTAATCTGACTTCATGTCATCTTTGCCTGCTGCAAGAATCAGAGACTGGATGGAACAAAGATACTGTGAACATTTCTTTGCTGGGAGAGGTAAATATCCACCACATAAAGAGGTAAGACAGAAGGTCAGTGGTAGAGAATAAAAGCTGTGTGGAGCAGGGAGGGAGAGGGAGAGCTCCGTGGTGGTGAGAGTGAGAGGTGGAGGAAAAAGGGGATCTGAACCACTCCTGGGTGGAGAGGTGGAATACAGGAGGCCCCTCCTACCTCCCTTCAGAAAGATAGGAAAAGAGCTGATTTCCTTCCTGATGGCTTTTTGGCCTGCAATTTTAAACTGCATTAGAACTGAACCATGTATAACATGAGTCCCTTAAGGTTACATAAATGTATTTGTATTTATATGTTGGACAGGATTCTTCCAATATTTTTAGAATACCAGTACAAGATATTGTAAGTATTTTAATAGTTTTATAATAAAATTTAGATTCATTACACTATAAAATGCAATATTTATGTATCCCCCCCCCCAAAATCACTAGATTTCAAAGGAATCACAAATTTTTAGTGGATCTAGGCTGTGGACCCAATTTCTTTTCATATGTGTTTTTTCTAGCAAGGGGTACTCAGGGGACCCCTTGAGAAACTCTGATTTAAACTAAGTTCAGTATTTAGTCCTCCTGGACAGTAACATGAAAATGTTACTTAGGCATTCAGAAGACTGAGTAGGAGGTATGAATGTTTGTCTTAACTCTATGAATAAAAATTTATATTTTATATATTTATATTTTAGTTCTCATACAACAAAGTACCAAACTAATCAAGGAGGATATGAACCAGTGGGATAAACTCGTAGCACTCTAGTTTTAAATTCAACATTTTAGTCTTTTTTCCATTTTTGTTATCTTTCTTTTGTGCTATTAGGGACACATCTCAGGGCCTTGCAAATGCAGCATCACTGAGCTAGACCTCTTGCCTAAACAACATGGTGTTTTTGATGGGCACAATTTGTAAAACTCTTGTGCTTTCTGTAGCTCCCACGCTGTTCATACCCAAAGCCCCTCCCTCCTAGTGTGCCCAGATCCTGAGCCACCCAGGACATTCCTTAGTCTGCCAACAGGTTCCTTCCATGTCCCCACACTGTCAGCATCTGCAATCTGTACAGTGAGGAGGCTCAAAGGACCCATTGCCTCTGTTCATCTTCAGGAAAAATGAGCAGGAGTACTGTGAGGGGTGGGGACCTTCTGGGGAGCCTCAAGAGAGATTCCGAAGAATCCCATGGACACAAAGAAAACTGTTGAACAAAATTTCCTGAAGGAAAGAACTTGTAGAAGGGGACAGAGGATATAAGACTCAATGATAGTGTCACTCATTGATAGGCTCACGGGAATCTGAAAGGACATTTTTATCAGGTGATATATTTAGTTGTTTTGTTTTTTGTGGTTTTTTTGAGACAGGCAGTTCGGGCTCGCCTTGAGCTTACTTTGTAGCCCAGGCTGGTCAATGATCCTCCTGTCTCAGCCTCCCCATTGCTGGGATTACAAGTGTGAGCCACCATACCCGGCTGTATATATGTAGTTATTGATTTTTAGATATTATATACTGACATGAGGATGAGTGGAGCACATGTAGCATTTTCACTTCACCTTCCAATAATCCAGGAATGTGCTCATTGTATTAGTGAATTAAGAACTTATAATGTTAGTCCCTTCAAAGGGACA